CCATCCTCCAACCTGCTGATTATATCCTTCCGGTGATCGTTTTTCCCTTCCTGCTGTAAAATTACTGGCAGACCAACAGCACTGGATTGACTGTGAGTGCAGCTGGTGGACGCTCTAAATCACCTCTGTTCACGAGCAGCACGAGCTACGTTTCCACTGACCATAAGTTTGCTCAAATTGAAATTGCGTAAATACGTTTGCTTAATCGAGAGACGGCAATTTCGAGAACTGACGTTTGTTTTCTAGGATGAGGATGATGAGGCATGTTTTATTGGCTTATTGCGTGAACAAACATTTATATGTGACTTTGAGTTTCTTATTGATTAGAAACAGCAAAAATTGTGAATTTCTTTTTTTTTTTCTTTTTGACATTAATGAGATAAACATTTGTAAGTGAAACGTGTTTATTGCCTACATGATTTGAGGCTATGTGTATATTGGAGCCATATATGTGTACTTTTGGTTTTTGGTCCATGTACTGGACCATGTACTGGACCTTTTGGTCCAGTACATGGACCAAAAGGTGACAGGTGATTGACAGGGGTTGAACCCGGAAGGGCATACAAGAGTATGAACGCTGTGGCCGAGTCATTGTTGCCATGTATCAACGTTGCAGCTCAGGGGGTCATAACTAAGCAGCAACGGATATTAAACTGGCTATTATAGTGTAGTCAGTCATATGTCTGTATACGTCTACGCATCTGCTGTGCAAACTTCATTGAATCCTGGTGTTTGCATGTTCTCCCTGTGTATGGGTTGGCACTTTGCCCCCTTTCATACCTTCCTCGGCCGTTTCATACCCTGTGTCTTTAGATACAAAAAAAAGCTCTCTTCTGAAGAATGTCCGTCTTAGTCATCTCGGTCCGGCGGTGTGTGTGTCCATGGCTCAATTCATACCGGCCAAGATGCGTTTTTTTTATTTTTATAACTGCTTTGCAGAGCTGGCCTGAGATCATAGGATGCCGCAGGTAGAATTTCGGCTTACAGTGAAGCCCACTAGGCGCCTCGGCATTCCTCATGCTTGATGCACATTCCTTATGCATTCTGCACTAGCACCACTTGTTTTGCAGTTACTTGGAAAGCCAACAGAAAAGTGGAATAACAATGTGATGAAATCGTATCACTCATATATCAGTGTTTAATGAATGAAAAACAGTCTTGCAGCATTGCAAATATCCCAAATGTGTTGAGTATTTAATTTTCTCAGTGATTGCTGAATGTTTTTATGAAGTAGTGTGCATAAAAAATGAAAAACAGTGATCAAACAAGGCAGTCCTTCATGTGGTTCTCTCTTTGGTATGGACATTTTGATTTCAAGCGACTTTTGATGACATTGTCATTTTGAGTATTTTGAGGATTTCTGTCAAGAAGTGCAACAACAAATGACGGTTTTACATGGAAATGTTTTTGTTGCTTTTCATGTTAAAGAAACTCAGTTATATGTTTAAAAAAAAACAACTTATGAACATTTAAAATGACAATCCAAACACAGGGTCAGTGACATCATCAAAAAATAAACAATGAAATTTGATTTTTCAGCTCCGGCCAGAAATTCTTTTGCCATTAAATCGGGAATGAAATCCATTTTAGGTTTGTTATGATTGTTAAAATTATTCTACTTGTTAAATGCCAGAATAAAAAGAAAGATGTTGTCGTTAATTGTTTTCATAGTCAAAGTTTGACATAAATTAAAACTGGTATGCGTTGATACAGTTAGAGGAAACAGAGACATTGGGCTCTGCAGGCTTTTGAGAGCTTAATTTACAACATTTGAGGTCAGCCGTCGCATACTTTGAGGCAAGCGTACTGCTTCTTTATCTGACATCATAAAAAATCTAAGAAATTAGTCAGAATATCATTAAGAGAACATCGGACTTCTAAGAATAACATTTTTAGATGGCATTTCACACAGTAAAATGAGTCCTTGCAAGATTTCGCCTCATAATATCAACGACGTTAATAGGCGTTATTACGTAAGAAAACCTTTACATAGCCATTGAGTTTGTATTGTACTGCATCTCTTAACAGAAATATGGTCTTAATGGCTTGAAGTTAAAAAAATAAAAAGAAGATCAGAACATTGGAAAAGATGGAAGCACAATCAGCACAGTAGTAAATCCAAAAGGAAAGGACATAAGTTAAATATTTAAAAGCATACCAACTAAAATCCAAACCAAATTAAATTAGGGTTATTTTTTTACTCATGTTGTAGTATTTTTAATTTTTAAGTGAATCTATGTGTTAAACTCGTTTCAGACGACCGTTGAAAATGGTAACAGAAAAAAGACTACTATTTTTTGTAGCTTATTCCAAAGTAAGCTTACATACACACTGTATGAAATGTATGTAAATGTCACAATTTAACATTTCAGGCATTTGTTACATCAAAATAAATTCAGTAGTTTTAACTGTTCATCTAGTTTAAAGTCAAATGGTAAGAAAAAAAAAATCAAATTTATTATATAATGTGGGCAAATTTGAACCATTTTTCGTTCTTTTGTTTCCCGATGGGTTAAAAAGAAATAAACATAAAGTGACAAGCATTGAAATACAAGGATAGGGACAAAATGATTGCATGCAGGAATGAGCTATAGATTATTCCAAACTCATTTATTATTATTTTTTTCCAACAAGTCAGTTTTTTACGATCACTAGAAGAATAAAAGCCCATAAGCGCAAGATGCCTGCCGAACTTCTACGTGGTCTTTATGCTGTCAGTAGGTTAAAATCCACTTAAAATGTAATCAGACTGAATTGTGTTATTACTTTACAACAGACATCTTGAAGCACATATTGTGTTTGAAAGGATATACTTCTTGATAAGCTTGGTGTTTTACACAAAGCTGAATTTCTGTTTTGTCTCAATAGGGTTTAATGACAGACTTCACACAGTGTATGATATAAAATAAACATCCATCCCTTCCTCCTTCTGATGCCAACTTAAGTTTGACTTTAGTTTTGGAGGTTTCGCTGACTAAACTCAGCTGGTTTTTCTGCCACGTTTATCTTTAGATCCCCCAGCTCTGTTAGCGCTAATGATAATGAGGCCAGTCGCCCACAGCAATTATTGTGCTTAGCTGGTGATGATGACAAACTGCGGGTCTGTGCGATAACAAACTGGTCGATTACTGTGTGAGAGAGGCTTGAGCAAGGAGTCAGTCAGCTAAACCGCATTGGTTTTTAAAATGCCTTATCGAAGATGCGTGCCACACTTTTCAGATTTTTATTCATCAAAAAGTAAACCAAGCATCTTGTGCCTTCCGCTTAACAAAAGATTTTTGTTGGTTTGTCAAATAAAACCCCCAATAAAATGCACTGAAGTTGGTGGCTATAATGTGAAAACTTCCTGGGGGGTGTGAATACTTTTGCCAGGCACCGTAAACCATTTGATCTTTCTGGATCAAATTTTCCAACGCGCCCTCTTGTTTTTTGTCATGATTTATCCTCTGCCGACGAGGATGCGAGATCATTTGTGGCGTCACCGAAGAGTCCCAACAGACGAACAAACAAACAAGAGACGTTCTTAATGTTTAACAGAGATGTCAACATCAGCACACTTTGTTTTTCACATACATTGGGTCAGAAAAGGGATGTTTACAGAAAATCAGTTCCCCTGTTGACTAATTACAGAACAAGAAAAAGTGCCTCTGCTTATCACAGCCTAACACTCCAGAGAAATTGAATGTGCATGGCCCACTGGCAAAATATCCCTGAATGCACTCTGTCATTCAGGGATTAGTTTTATCAAAGGCGAATTTACATGTTGAGTTTAGGCTTTAGAACAATGGGAGACCCTGATGTGCGACCTTCCCTGTCAAAAAGAGCAGGGCTGCACGGTGTAGCTCATTTTTTATACACATTATTTATGTACTCACATTTCCTCTTGAATTGTGTTTTGCTTAATTTCACAAAAATCATTCCACAAACCGATTTGCACACACTTTTAAGAGTGCTGCAAACACATGGCTGCATTAAATCACCTTTCCCTCTCAAGTTACACCTCCCCTCTCTCTATTCTTCAATAAATTTTGAATTTTCATTGGAAGCGTCTTGTTTCTAGCTTTAAACACCACGTTTAAATTTTAGGAAATCCATAAATTTTCTAAGGTGTAACTTAAAATAACAATGTGAAGAACCGATGTCTGTATCCATCTTGTTTTTGTTTGCGGAGAAGGGGTAGAGGACAGGTTTGGCCATGTGGCATTGGTTCTGCCATATCACAGTGATAGTGATGCAGCACAGGGTGTTGAACTGAAGCAGAGGAACTGTGAGGATTTGGGTTTTCTCTGAGTCGTTTTTCTGCGTGTTTATTTTGAGTTTCTGTGTTTTCTGAGTCTCCGTGTTGTCCTGTCTCCCCTCGACTGTTCCCAGGTGTTTCTCGTCCCCTGAAAACCTTGAGTGTATTTAACTCCACCTGTGTTCCTTGTTCCTCCTCGGGTTCTTGTCAAAGCGTCTATTCTGTTTTGCTGTCGCACTGAGTCCACTGGTTTCCCCTGTTGCTGCCGGCGTTGAGCCCTGGCTTCCACTCAGCCGTGCTGCCTGGCGGTTTGGACTGTTTCTGGATTGTGTCTCGGACTGTTTTGGATCACAATCACCATTAAACCATCATTTTTTCATTTCAACCTGGGTCTACTGCATCTGCCTCATCACTTTCCACCACAATTCATGACAGGAACAATGTAGGCGGCGCGCTCGCTTTTGCACTGTACAGGAAGTGCAGGAAAATACATATAATATTGGTAAATATTAGTTATCGGCCACAACAGCAGTTCATCTGTGCATCCATAAACACGGGATTGTCTCCATTGGTCATTGAGTGGGGGACACCCTGGACAGGTCACCAATCTATTACAGGATGACACTCAAACCAATGGTCAGTTCAGACCAATTCATAGCAACTACAATTCTACTCTCTTTTAGTCTCTATCAAGTTGTGTGGGCTGCATTCCCAGTCACTGCTTTTCCATTCCTCCTCATGCCCTCTCTCCTCTCCTCCACAGCCCTGTTGTTAGCTGATGGTAAGTTACCCATTCCAACTCTCTCTGCATCCTCACTAACCTGCTGTGCCTGTACATGGATTGAAATTAAATACTACTTTTCAGGGTTGTACACAGACAAGACACTAGGAGGTGCTAAAGCACCTGCCCATTTTTCCTCTGGACAAAAAGGTGCCCTTCTGAAATCTTTTTTTTTTTTACAGTGTAGTGTGTGACCTGCAATTAATCTCATCTTACTACGACAGCTAACGGTCCAAAAGCTAGCGTCCACACAAGCTACCATTTTTTAATACTTGAGCATTTTCCCACCAAAATGCAAACCGCGTGCCACTGCTAATTTTGGTTGATAATGTTTCTATGTGAAAAATTTAAAAGGCTCACTGAAAAACCACAAAATCTCGCAAAGAAATTTTGGTCTAGTTTCTAGTGCAAATATCTACTCTGGAAATAAGAAATAATTAACTTGTAAGTAATTTTCCAACAAGATATAGGAGTTTCTTTTAAGTCACTAATCCCTTAATTTTGATTAAATCATTCTTGTTACATTTGCAGATCATCTAACCTATAACAAGATATTTTTGCCATATCATGAGTGAAATAATCTGCCAGTGGAGCTCGCACTTTCCCATCAATATTATGTAATTACTGTCTTAAAATAAATGCCTCTATCTGCTGAGAAGTTAATTTTTCATTAATTTAGTTTTATTTCAAGTGTAGACATTTGTACTAGAAACAAGACCAAAAAATTTTGTGGTTTTGCAGTGTTCAACATAAATAAGCTGCATCCAAATCAGTGTAGAGTACAGCCTTTTGCTTTTTATGCTACAAATCAATCACAACCCTTTAAAAAAAAAATACACATATATCAATAAGCCCAACACTGGATTTGGGCCAAATCTGACATCCATGTTATCCCGTCAAGTCAACACTTGATAACCGATGAGATAAAAAAAGAAAAAAAAAGTCAGGATTTTTGCAATTAGAAATGTAATTACGTGGGATTGCATTACTATTCAGTTCCTTCTAATTGTCATGTAGCAGCGCGGCTCAGCGCGCAGGGACAGCTGCATCATCAAATTTTTAGGACGAGCGAGGGATATCCCGTGAGGGTGATGGTACACACTGTCTTTTGGGTGTGCAATTGATTTTTTGCTTCAAAGTGTGTGCATGCACTAAGGAGCCATGACACTTTTATGCATGCCTCTGTGCGCCCGCTCTCTCAGATACGCCCTCCTATCAGTAGAGGGCCGGCTGCCATTAAACTTTAATGTTTAATGGCGGTGTTAATATTTAATGGTAAGCGTGTTGTCAGCAAAGAGCAGCAGGCTGGGACTTGGGGCTCGTATTAAAAGATGACAAGTTCCCCACGCCAGGTGGCTCCGTCGGCAGGGGGAGGCAGAGGAAGGGATGAGAGGATCCGTCAGCCACGCCTTGTTGATGGAGTCCGACAGCACAGGGTTGATGTTGCGGAGCTCTTTACTGTGCGCGTTTCAAAAGCTTCTCGGAGACTCTGCTCACAGTTGGGCCGCCGTCAGATATGTGACAGGCAGATGTAGAAACTCCCCAAGCGATGAAAATGAGCAAATTTAAACTAATCTTTTACGTGTGTTGACAGTCGGCGCGGCCATCAAAGCAGCCTGGGTGTTTCATTGCAGTTTTAAATCAACAGGCCTCATTCATTCCTCATGCAGCCTGCATTCGCTGCACTGTTATTAAAAATGAACAGGCTTTCTCATTTATTTCCATCAGTATCTATGGGTTTTAAATGCAGGAACTTTTTCCTGCATTTAAATCCCAGTAGCCAGTAGCCAGAGTACGTTTCTGAGCACTTACAGATTAAATACCAGGGTCGAACCCCATTTGTTTATGGACAATGGGTCTGGTGAGCAGGTAAGACTTTGTTTCTACTGTAACCAAAGATGGAGTTTAGCATGGTTTTACCCATAACCACTGAAGCAATCTGAGATTACTAGGATTAGGGTTAGGGTGAATTTCTGCTTTTACTGCTTTTCCACACTACAGTGTTATGGTGGTCACTGAAGCTAACTGGGTGTGAAGTGTGTATTTGCTAACAATGATAAGTAGTCTGACAATCTCCGTTTTAAGAATCAAAAAGAAATTCACATTGTGGAAAACGATAACTGAGGGCTGGACTTACTGAAGTCTTTTTTTTTTTTTTTTTTGCCATAGAAAATTACTTTTAACTAAATCTAACCATCAGCTTAATTCGACATGAGCTGTTGTCTCTCCCTTGCTGATTTTGTTTGTCAAAAGATTGTGCTCTATAACCTTTATTTTTGCTTTAAAACATTAACACTAATGTCTTACACATAGAGTGCCTGTTTTCCTGACAGGAAAATGACAGATGGGAAGGCAAGATCAATAGTTTGAATTTATTTAGTTCTATAAGAGAAATCAAAATTAGCCATAACTGGTGTCAGTAGGTAAACCACTTATAAAAATCAGTCAAAAAACTATATTTAGCATGTCTTTAGCAAAAATATATCATATATTTTGTGGTACAACTGGTAGGAAAGCTCCTAGTTAGTGTTTAGAAGGAAAATGGCCCCTGAATGGGCTTTCGTTTAATAAAATGTTAGCCTTCATCCTATTTGAGAATGTCTCATAGTCTCCACACATACAAGTTTAAGACAGGTAAGACAATGACTCTTCTACAATACTCCACACAGCCCCACTTAAAACAAAATTCAGGAAGCTTTTAATTAATGTATAATGTTTCAGAATTTGAAATCAATCACTTAAAGTCTTCGAACATAGGCAGAAAATAATATAATCGAATTAAACTAGATTCTCAGTAGTTCCCTTTCATAAAGCAGCCAGTTGTTGGCAAATTAATTAAATGTTTGGTTATATTGCAATTAGATTGTAGGAACATCTGAAAAGGGACATTGTGAGTGGACAGCAGAAAGCGAAATGAAGGCTGAAGTGTTTCCCGATTAAATTCAAGCACCTCTGGATAAGAACCGGAGATCAAACAGAAACAGAAATCTCATCCCACATTTTGTTTTCAAAGAGAATTCACATTTCCCAGTGATCTGATGTACATAATATGTTCAGGGAGTAAGCGTTGAGCTTTTCTCAATGAGATTTTTCTACTTATTTCGTCCATGCTGCTTCTGTCCATTCAGACGTGCCAGATAGGAAGCTCACGTCTGACGAGGAGGAAGCCAAGCGGATCGCCGAAATGGGAAAGCCGGTGCTGGGGGAGCACCCGCGGCTGGAGGTCATCATCGAAGAGTCGTACGAGTTCAAGGTGAGTGAAGCAGCAGCTGATTTATTTCTGTGAAGTTTGCTGTGTTTTCAGAGGAGCTTTTGGTTGCCTGATATTGGACAGTGCCGCCACCGTGTGGCGAGTCGGGTGCTGCGAAAGCAGCAGGATGAGGTGGATTGGAGAAATAAAAGTGGTCTGTGTTGACTTCTAGAGCACAGTGGACAAGCTGATCAAGAAGACCAACCTGGCTCTGGTGGTGGGAACAAACTCCTGGAGAGAGCAGTTCATGGAGGCCATTACTGTCAGTGCAGGTAATGCTTTCTGTTCTCCTCTGTCTCCTGGACTAAAATCTGTTCATCTGCTCATTTATTGTGATCAGAAGAGGGTATTATGGCTTCACTTGGAATTATTCTGACTCACAGTGAATATCACAACTGTATACTAGCAAAAAAAAAAAAAAAATGCCTCAAGTAAGAGTAAAACTTAGTCATTATAGAAGTTACTAAAGAGTAAAAACCGAATCTCTTCGAGTATCTGATTGAAGCATGTGGTTTAATGTTTAAAAATAATGCCAGGCAGACAAAAATGAAAAGTTAGATCCAATATTCTGGTATTTTAAGAACTAAAACTGAGAAATGTCTACAAATGAATAACACGGTTATAGAATGACAGATTCAGGCAGAAGAAGCATTTCCAAATCATGAAAAAGAAATGATCTGAAACTAATAATTAGTTGGTAAGAGACATGTGTATACTGTATTTTAGAATAGGGTGAAGCATGTCCAGTGCCAAACAGCAGGTAGAAAATAAAATTAGAAAAACAAAACTTGCATTTAAACAGCAGCTTTAGCTGTAGGTGTTTCTGTATTTTATGCATTTTGGGTTTTTATTTTCTTCATCCAGTGAAGCTAGTCACAGTTACTCAATTTTACTCAAGTAAGAATTATGGTACTTCATTATAAAGTAACGCAAGCATAGTAAAAATACTCCAAAAAGTAAAAAGTTTCCCCCAAATTGTTACTCAAATAAATGTAACTGAGTGAATGTAACTACTTACTAAGAAATCTAATTGAGAAAAATCTGCAAAAAAGCAGAGCACAACTCCTGTGCAAGATTTGAGGGGTTTTTTTACAAGCAAGAAAGAAAAAATTTACGATGTCATTGAACATCATAACTTTAATCACTTTTCAGATGCAGTCGAATGCTTCTGTAATTTTAATTCTGCATGACTTCAAGCCACAGTCATCCAAATACATGTGTCTGTACGCTTTATTAAAATCTTTTAAATCTTACAAGAAAAAGGAACATCCACAAGAGGCACAGCATGACTCGCATCCAGCAACGTTAACCTCAACGCAGCAGCATCTGCAGCCGCCGTCCAGCAGCGAAGGCCTTAAGCTGTGGTACTGAAATATTTAATCAAGAGCCCATCTTTACTATTTGATGATCCATCGTGGGCTGAAAAATGCATGCGGCTCATGTGGCCTGACAGTTGGAATCATGACAGTGCAGGCCTCTTGCTTGTCTGCTTCATGTCCTGCAAGCTCCTGAAGCACAGAGCAGCTCTTCAGGGTGGAAGAGTCCTGCTCAGGTCCTCCAGTAGCTTGACTGTGGAGCCGTCTGCAGAACACAACAACCTGCAGCGCGTTAAACCAGTCGAGTTTATAGATTTGATATCCTTTTGGGCTGAAACGATTCCTCGAGTGATTCGAGTTCCTCGATTATTAAAATGTCTTAAGTGAGTTTTCTACAGCCAGAGTGAGAAAAGTCACACTTACACACCCAATAGTTTGCTCAGTAGTTCTGCATATTTATTTCCACTTTACCAACCCAAAACACGTTGGTCTGAAAAACTGTTTTGCAAAACTATTGACAGTTCTGGAACGTTCTTACATCTTGAAAACACAACCGGAAACTTTATGCATTTTACTGGGGACTTGTGTGATAAATCAAAACAAAGTGAATGGGGTAATACATGGTTTTCAACATTTTTAAAAATGTATTGATAGAGAAGTGTGGGGTGCATTTATATAGAACCTATATTAAAGCTAGAATTTTTAAAAATATTTTCTGTCATTTCTAATTTCCTTTAAAGACAAATAGTAAAATTAAAAAAAAAACAATCGATTAAAATCGATAATTGGATTTGGTATGAAATATATCTGATTTTATTTACAACCCAGAATGCCCAGCCCCACATCTGATGCCTTCACAGAACATCTGGATTTACACTTCAAACTATGTGGTCTTGAGTAATGAATAAAGACAGATGGTTGCTCTTCATTTCAGATTCATTAGGGTAAATACAAATATGCTTCTCGTTTTAACATGAACGAGAAGTCTAAGTAAAATGCATCAGCGTTGTGGTTGTAATGTGCCAAATATGTTTAACCTAAGCTTTAAAGACTTATACAAGTTAGTAAAAGTAACACTCATTTAAATAAGTAGTAATAAAAAAGAAACGACTAAAGTGCTCCCTCTTTTTTGCCGTTGTCAGCAAACTTTATCTCATTTCTTAATTGCCATGCAAAGCAGCTTGTCCTTTGAGGCCTCTGGCACTGACGAGTATTTATCACACATTTGGAGTCAGATTTGCATAATAATAACCTCCGGCTGAAGTCAAAGAGATGATTCCTGCTGGGAAATAAGTGAACATGCCATTTAAAGTGATTGTTGTTCTCACTCTTTCCTTCTCTCCGTCACCCCCCTTGCGTCCTCCGTTTTCTCCAAATCCTCCTAATGCTCCCTTCCTCAACCCCGCTTCCGCACCAGAAGATGAGGACGAGGACGACACGGGCGAAGAGCGCCTCCCGTCCTGCTTCGACTACGTCATGCACTTCCTCACCGTCTTCTGGAAGGTCCTGTTCGCGTGCGTCCCCCCCACGGACTACCTGAACGGCTGGGCGTGCTTCGTCGTGTCCATCGTCATCATCGGCCTGCTCACGGCCGTCATCGGCGACCTGGCCTCCCACTTTGGCTGCACCATCGGCCTCAAGGACTCGGTCACGGCGGTGGTGTTTGTCGCTCTCGGCACGTCCGTCCCAGGTGAGTCCGGGAGTTGGAGAGTGTCTCTGATCGTTCTCAATGCTTCACCAGGTTCGATTTATAAACCTGTCCTCGGGTTTATAAAGCCGTGCTGTTCATAGGCAGATTTTCTCTGTCCTTGTCTCACTTTCTCAAAACTGATATTTGACCTCGTCAGGAAGACTCTTTTTTTTCCCTGAACCAATGCATTGGGTGTTTTCTTTGATTGAAAGGTCATTCATTCAGCTTTAATATGAGAAAGGAATAGACCAAAACATTTTGCAAACTTCAGTTTACCTGGTGAAATGGAGACATCATGTCTCTGCAATGACTAATAGATCTGTCAAAGTATTTGTGTTTTCCTTTGAATTCAGAGTTTTGCACAGGGAATGACGACGACCTCAGATTTTTTAAACGTTTTTGAAGCGTGTGTTTTGTTTCGCCAACAAATTTACAAGCAGTTGATTTGTAAATTTGACAAGTTCATTTCTATAAAGTTTGCTATAAAGAATTTTTAAAAAATTAAAAATTCTTAAGAAAATAAGATTTAAGAAAAGTAATAAACAAGAGGTAGCAGTTGCAAACATGGAGCACACATCTCCGAAAAACGTGGGAGAGTTGTCTGCTTTGAGCCGGAGTTTTGGACTTTGGAAGTTTTCAGTTTCATGACTCTGGTAAAGCACAGAACCACCTGTGGATGGAAAGCTGTGGATGGAACCAGAACTGGTTCGGCTAACGCACTTCCAACGCTCCTGTTGGGCGTTAACTCTTTCGGAAAAGCCAAAAACCTTCTCAAGCGACTAAAAACTTATTTTGTGAAATTGAGGAAGGTATTTTGAATTTCGCTGTTACCATCAAGCTTTTCTAATGCAATACTTCAAAATGCACATAAACGTGGCTTGTGGCTCTCCTGGTGCCTTTAGGAGCCGGTTTCATATCAATGTTGACTCATGCATCTCAAATATTTTTGCTGAAGCAGAACTGAGTCCAAGAAAACCCTTCTGTAGAGAAATTGGGCTAAAATCATGTCAATCAAAAGAAAAATGCAAGTAAATTCACTCAAAAGAGGTTTGTTGCCTTATGCGATGCCACCAGAGACAAAGCTTGTTCTTGGGAGCGTAGAGCGTAACTTGATCTAAAAAACAGTTAAAACACCAACTAAAACAAAGTGTGGGGAAAAAAAAAACTGTCCATGACATACTGTGATAAATTTCATCTAGAATGAATTTGATTGAATTTACAGAAAAGTCTGGCGAGTAGCTTTAATTCACATAATATCAAAGTTTGATATTGATATCAAACTTTTTAATCTAATCTTTTCTGGGTGTACTTGCCCTTTTGTGAAATATGAAAGAAAAAAAAAACTTAGATTACTTTCAGTAATGTGGAGTTTAGGCCACAGTGAAGGAGATTAATGCAGGTAATGTCTGCAGAAGTAAAACATAATTTCTTTAGATTCCCTTCAATGACTTTGTCAGCGCTACCCTGACAAAGGTTCTTTGTTGAACCTTTTTGATAGTCAGAGCTTAAAAAAGTGATCAAGCTAAAATCTCTGGAGACTCTCAGGCTTCTTGTTGGACGGTAAATGAGTTCACCGTGCGACGTCTTGCATCATTTTCCTCCAACTGCAATTTAATATCCATTCTTTCCCTTAGCCCTTCCAATCGGACAGCATTCTGAGCTCCGAGCAACACTTCCTTGATCTCAACCGACCAAAGAATGCGTACCGCATTTTTGCCCTCGAGGCGCATACAATCAGTTTTCATCAACGCTCACCACGTCCTCAACCCAACGAGAGCCTAAATTAGTCGCTCATCTGTTCATTCAGAACTTGATTGGTCGATTTGAAACTCGCCTGAGCCACTATTTCAGGGGAAAAGGCCACATCGTCACTGATTGGAGCTCCTGATTACGGCAGAAACTTTGCTTCATCAATCTACTCGACTCTCTTACCAATGGGTTCTCTTGCAATCAGATGCTTCAGGTTCTGCTTGTTTCTACAGAGCTCTGAAAAAGCCGGGCACCAAGTTACATCCCACAGGTTTCATCCGAGATGTACATATTTACCTCTTACTAGCTGGAGGTGTTTAAACTTTTATACACAGATTTTTCTTCTGGATCAGAGCTTGCTGGATATTTCATGAGCACTTTTCTTTATTTGGTAGAAATTAGTTTTCCCTTCGACAATGAAAGGTATTTTTTGTCATTTTTGGGGAGATTCTTTCTTATTTTATCAAAATTTGGATGATCAAGATTGATTTATAAAAGCTATTACTTCCAAGAGGTTGAACACTCTTAGCAGACACTATTTTACATAATTCAGGCGTGTTTACAGAGGCACGTCTTGAAGTTGCAGGATACTGCAGGACGTCAACGTTCCCCTGAACTTTGACCAGCTTCTCGACGGCTTCCCTAAACAAAGCTGACTTTAACACAGAATGTCTTCTCTCTGCAGATACCTTCGCCAGTAAGGTGGCTGCCGTCCAGGACACCTACGCGGACGCTTCCATAGGGAACGTGACCGGCAGCAACGCCGTTAACGTCTTCCTGGGCATCGGCATGGCCTGGTCCGTGGCCGCCATTTACTGGCACATGAAAGGGAAGCCGTTTGTGGTGGAGGCCGGCTCGCTGGCCTTCTCCGTCACCCTCTTCACCATCTTCGCCTTCCTGGCTGTGTCGGTGCTGCTCTACCGGCGCCGGGCCCACATCGGAGGGGAACTGGGCGGCCCGCGAGGACACAGACTGGCCACGTCGGCCATCTTTTTCGGCCTCTGGTTTCTCTATATCCTCTTCTCCAGTCTAGAAGCCTACTGTCATATAGAAGGCTTCTGAGCAGATTGAGAACTCCCGACGAAGAAAAGCAAAGACTGGAAATTGGGTCAATCTTAATGCTAGGAACGTTTTTGGTTTTTTTTTCTAAGATATGTCGTCTGCTCTCTCCTTCTCCACCTTTCCCTAAAGAAACCTCGTAGGCGCGCATTCTGCCCTCTAATGCCAAAAGGCCCGAACTGCAGCTTGCATCTGGGTTTTACTTCCCAGCATGCCCCCCCAAAGGATTGCCGAGGAGGTCATGCATTCTGCTGTTAACCTGGAGAGAGCAGACTTAATCAGAGGTTTATATTTTTCTCAAAACAGGACAAAAAAAAAGACTTTTTAAAAGAAACATATTTTGGGGATAAAAATGCAAAAACTAATGCAACAAAAATAAACAAGAGACCCAGTCACATAGAGGAAATAAAGAACTATTTTCTGATTTGAAAAAAAAAGTAATAATAATGACATTACAGCTGAAAAGGAAAATACGATGTGGAGCGAAAGAGGGGTGGGTTGATAGTATTTATTTTATTTGCGTCCTTTCCTAAAAGGAGCTCTGTCAGGAATCCCGCAATCAGGAAGAGGAACAAGAGGCGACAGCTCACACCGCCGGACGAATCACGACTCAAGCAGGAGAACGTGAGGGTGGGAGGAATGCGAACACGGTCAAACTGCCCTGAACATTACTTCCTTACTCTAATTGTATCTATATATAATATATTTCCATATTTTCTGTATATTTTCAATATTTGTTTAAATGTGGTCCTCTTCTGCTCCGACAGAGGATCGCCGCGGCGCAGCGGGAGGAGGCCGGGATGAGGGAGGGCAGGGTCAAACTATATATATCTGAGGATGTCTTCACCTTTCTAAGAGTGATGTATCTTGCCTATAGGTGAACGAGTATGACATTGTATTTTGTTTATTTACCGATATCTTGGTCTCACTTGACTTTTCACCGTTTTTTTCGATCGGAAATCCGATAAAAAAGAAGAAGATAAACGACTAAATTTGTTGCTGCAGAAATAAATTCAGAGGTATTTTTGTACTCTTCCTTCCATGCACTTTGCTGTATAGTTCTACTTCTGGAGACTTCTTCTTCTTCTCCTTCTTCTTCTTGTACATGTGCAAAAGGCTAACGGTCAAAATGGTCGCGATGAACTGAACGGTGCCTGTGGAGGGAGAGGTGTTTGCTGCAGCTACCCCACACCAATCAGTCAGCCTCTTGGTTTAGTCAGAGAAACCCCATTCTCTGCATGAGGATGGATTAATTGATATACATTTAGTATCTGTGTCCAATTACTGACACTCGTGATTTGTGCGTCACTTTGTCTTGGGTCTCTTGGCTGGTTTTCAGACTCAAAACGTGTTCGTTATCACTTTTTTGTTCTACACTGTAAAAGCACAACATCTTCCCATGTATTTTTGGTGTATTTATAGTGCAAATATCTGAGTTGAAATAAGACAAAGAATAAGACAAAAAAAACTAAGTGATAAGTAACTTTCCAGCAGGAAATAGGAGTTTGTTTGAGGTAAATAATTTCTAAATATTTATTAAAAAAAAAAAAAAAGTACTTCCACTGGGAGATTGTTTCACTGATGACAAGACATTTTCCCATATAAGTGAAATAATTTGCCACGTTTTCATTAATATTAAGAAATGATTGATGAAAACAATCTCCAATATCTTAATGAAAAGTTACTCGTCAGTCAAACGGGGCCAAAAATATTTGGCACGATTTTGTGTTTTTGCAGTGTAGCTAGAGTCGGAAGTGTCACTATTGGGCGTAGATGATCCGCTCTTTCTCTCAGGAGGTAAGTGGACCCAACCAGTGAGCTCTTATGATACCGATCCTAATGTACAGATCTGGGAAACTCTGTAATCCTGAAGTTTTCAAACAAGCAAACCAGCCTGTGTGGTATAACAACGTGCAGTTTTGATGCACTCCAGCACCTCACGCATTCTCCGCCATCCTGGAATTTTTCTAAATACCTTTTGAAATAAGACATTTAAAAAATCGTAAACTTCTGGCAAAAAAAAAATGGAATCATTCGAGAATCTCAATCATATTATGTTCTGGATTTATTCCCCCTGTGAGGAACCCCAAAGAATTATAGCTGAATATGAATTATCCACCTTTGTAAAAGACACCTCACAAAATTCACTGACTGAAAACCCAGGTTTATGCAATTTTTTTTTTCTCGGTTTCGTTGAAAGATCGTACATTTTTCAATCATTTGAAGCATAAATCTTTTCACGTTGTTGAGAGAGCTTCAAATGTATTTGTAGAAAGGAATAACATGAACATGCTGTGAAAACCTACGATCATCTGTAAGACTTATTTCTAAACATTTATTCATTTTCACAATGACAATATTGATGTTAAAATAGTGGAATGTCACATTTTCAGCTCAACAAGAAAAAGAAATTGTCAGCTTGAAACAAATGGAAAAAAGTCTCAGTCAGTACTTTGTGGTATTTCAAAATTACCTATGAAATACAAATAGTATCATTAATCAATCAGGTTCAGAGCACATATCGGTAAATTTTATACAGGGCAGGGGAAAATAAATACTTTTTAAATTAAATTCTGCCTACCTCATCAAACTTTTCCAAATAGGCATTTTAAAGGTGACTAAACCTTATTAGTACACAACAAATCTCTCTTCCAACCAGGAAATTAGACTAGTGTTGCTATTTGTTTTAGAAATACAGAATAATGAGTGAATCCAAATTTCTATACGGTTTAAGTTGTTAGTTTTGGAAATCCTGAGGTCTTCAACTGGTAAATTAAATAGTATTGTGTCATGGTGGTGCTAATTTCATTCTAAAGTAAAACAACTGGGTCAACGTCATCAAAACTAGTGATTTCTGTTCTGATTTTTATTTTAATTTTTTTTGCCAGATGTTGTAGAAGCCCTATGCATGCTTACGGTTGCAAAAGTACAATATTTCTCATGGAAAAATATTTGACTGAGACTTGGGTGGGAAAATTCTCAACACAAGCATCTGGTAATTTCACCAAAAGCACCAAATAATCCAGAATATTCAGTTATTTAAACTGTCTCTGGAGATTATCGCTTACAATGGATTTATGCAATGAAGGCATCTCGCTGTTTTCCCAAAATATTCAAATCCTAATTTTCACAAAAAAAAAAAAAAAACCTCCACAATATCTTCTCTGTTGTGATCTCTGACCGAAACGCTTGGTGTCAGGTCAGGTCACGTCAGGTCAGCGTCCAGGGCTGCTGGTGGAGGTGCTGCAGGTAGCTCTGGTTTCAGATCCAAAGGTCGACATAAATCCACGTTCTGTACAGAATCTTCAGTGTGTCTCCACAGAAACACACACACACACACACTCTAGGGGTCACTGTAACGTCACATTTCACCCACAGAGTGTCAATTTTTTTTTTATTTGTTATAAATTTGCAATTAAGGAAGTGTGTCATATCTACATTCTGTGACTATTTATCATATATTTAGTTGTACTTTGTAGCTAAAATGTCAGCCGGTGCGTATGTGTGTGTGTATGCGAACACACAGCATATCCGAAGGAACCCACCTTTCTGTTTTGCTTTCTTTTCTTTCCCTCTCAGCCAGTGGGATTGAAGGGAAACATCACTGTGCAGTAACTGGACTTGTGGTTCTCATGGGAAACTGAAAGGTTCAATAGTAGTGGGGAGGGAGGAGTTATAATACTGTTGTTTTAATTGTTTTTCCTTTCTTGTGTGTGTGCGTGCGTGCGTGTGTATGCGTGTGCGTGCGCATGTGTAAAAGAAGAGGGGCACATTTTATTGGATGAGTATGTTTTTTTTTTGTTTTGTTTTTGGCCTGCTATGAGATGTCAAAATAATAATAACAATAATAATAACAATAAAAAAAAAAGTAAAATCCAAAAGCAGATCATTTGTTCTTATTTTGCAAAATTGAACCAGTTGTTCTGGTTCACTCTCACCTTCACTAATTAATCTTGTCACATCTGCTGTCTGAATTAAAGATAAAATATTATAATAAAATATCTGTGTCAGGCATTTTGGCTCACCGCCCAGGGTGCCAAAGGCTCATGGGGGCGCCAGGAAGCGAACGAACAGATCAGTCACACCCAGAAAAAATTTAGCTTACCATAGCTTACAGTAAAATTGTGGAGAAAAAAAAGAAAAAACAGTGTCCAAATTAAATACAAAACTTTTAGGATGTTTTATCTAAAATCAAACATCTTAATTTAATGATGTGCATAAAAACATGATTTGAGCAGATGTCTGTTGATACTATCCAAATCAAATCCATTTTGTTGCTAATTTTTTACCTGTTCAAGTCTGTCACCAAAGCACCGCCCCCTACTATGTATATGATCTAAAGTTGCTTACTTTTACTCCTAACAAAACAATTTCTCAAGTAGTTAAACTGGCTTTTGAACTGCAGTTCTGAAAGTGATTGCGTTTGTTTAATCAGTTGAAAGAAAAATAAAAGACATGACAATTTTGGATGTTTTATTTATTTAAATTTCTTTACTTTTATAACTTAATTTAAATATTAAAATTTGCATAAAAAAAAATTGTACCCTTTTTTTTCTTTTGCTAAGAAAAAAAGCAACACCTATTGTGTAGAAAGGGGCTCGCCCAGGGAACCATTCATGCTAGAACCGCCACTGATCTGGAACTGCATGTTGGGAGGAGGAAGCGGCTGGGAACTAAACAACTGCTGACGTATCCATGCACCAATGGGATGGCAGAGGATATTCGCACGTTAGACGGCTAGTTTGGAAAGAAAAAAAAAAGACCACTGCATCCAGGAAGTCCCAGCGATGATTGGATGGAGCATGAGGATCCATGAAGCTGCAGTAGCGATGCGTTTTATGGGGTCCAGCAGTGACTGCAAGGGGGACGATGCAGCAGCATAGGGCTGCTAGTTCTCCACAGTGTTTATTTGTGAGATTAAGCGCTACTTAGCTCCCTGTGTGTGTGTGTGCGCGCGTCTGCGTGTGCGGACGCAGGACGCTCCAAGCCGCGTCAGGTGGATGCGCTGCAGCGATCCACTTCGCCCCTATGGATCGCGTCCATGGATGTCTTCACACCTGCTTTGGACAGCAGTTTGAGTCCCAAGGCGTCACTATCTGAAGAAGCGGAGGCGGATGTTTTTCGCTGGCCCAGCACAGCGGAGAGCGGCGGCGGTGGCTCGGCTCAGGATGCGGAGCCCGCCGCGCCGCCGCCGCCGCCTGGTGTCTGGACGGCCGTGTTCGACTATGAGGCCACTGCGGACGACGAGCTCAGCCTGCGCAGGGGGGACCTGGTGGAGGTCCTGTCCAAGGACTCCCTGGTGTCGGGAGACGAGGGCTGGTGGACCGGGATGATAGCCGACCGGGTTGGCATTTTCCCGTCCAACTATGTCAGCAAAAGGAACGGAACAGAGGAGGAGGGAGGCCTGCGGGAGAGCTCGGAGCACCCAGTGCCTCCTCTGCACCGTGAGTATCCCCATTGTGCGTCGAATCCGCAGAAAACAAATAAATAAGAGGTAAAACAATGCGCATCTGAAACACGGATCACGGGGGTGGAGCGGAGTGCTTCTGGCATCATGCTGGAGGAAGCTGCACATTCAGAGTGCTGTGTCACTCCGGTTGGCCTAGAAACCGTCTGGCTGGGCATCCTCAGCTTCAGGACCATTATTCAAGTGATGCACCCCAGCTCACTGTCATCCCACTGTATCCCCCAGAAAACATACCGGAGAGAACACGTCCTCCTTTGCATGTAAAATTAAGTTTTAATCCATTGTGCGCGCTTGGTTTGCAATATGATGTAATCGGGTTTTTTTTACACAGGTTTTTGCAATAAATAGAGGCTCCAACTGGGTGCAATGACCAGGCTTTTTGCTGTTTCCTGCCATACACAGGTGTAGCGCTAGTGGCCTTTTACTTGACCATGAACATGCAGGAAAGGAGACAAGGGGTGGAGGATGGGGGATGAGGAGAGCTGCATCAATATAATGATACACTTGCTCCTGTCCTGATTGAACGACATAGCACTCAATATTAGATTTTTTAAATTATTATTAGTTGATGTACACATAGGCTAATTTTTTTTCTATAGGCCTATCCATTTTATTTTTTGAGCTCTCTGTCAGTTTTGAATACGGCCCTTCTCGAAATTGGAAGTGGCTCTCATCAAAGGGACCCTTTAAAACCTTTCTGGACGCGCCCCTGTAAATGTGCTGACGATGCGAGCTGAAGGGGGGGCTGTGAAGTTGTGCTCCAACCACAAATCCAGTTTTACTCACCAACACATTTACGAGAAAAAATAAATTTAAAAAAAGGTTTTGAGATCTAGATGAACCTGCTTTGTGGACCACGCTGAGACCGGTGACCTACTTTCACTCACCTGAAACATCCATCAAGGTCGGTCTCGCGACGCCCCGTCAGCTCGCGACGCAGAAAGCTCCCAACGTCTGAATTTAATCGATACGCTTACCGCAGCCATTTCGTATACGTTTGGTCTGGAAACGTTTTAATTGATATTTCCGCTTAGAAATAACGTGGATTTGACAGACAAAGTAGCTTCTGTTAATTCAATATGATTATTACGGTTTGTCCACCGTGTTAAACGGAACAACAAATGTATCAGTTAGCTGAGTGATGAACATGAAACGTACGTTATTTAGCAAAAACTCCGTCAAAGTTAAGAAGCCTAGCATGCTAGCAGGTTTAGCATCCCCGCTGTTGTCACGCTAGCTAACGCCGGGTAAAACTCAAATTCAAAGTTGAAATACTATTTAATTTTCAAAGCTAAGATGTGGAAAAGTGAAAAATATCTCAAAGAAAAATGTCAGAATGCTAAACACGCTTTGTTTGATTCAGTTATCAACATACAGTTTATTTAATTGGAAAAGCACTTTAAATTTTTCTCATAGCATATCTGCTTTGTTATTAATATAGTTCTGAAGCTTTTATCTTGGCATTTTGAATCAGTTTTGATATTTTTTTCCCTTTTTAATCCCGCCCACCCCCAAAACAATTTTTCCCTTCACAGTTTTCCAAAACCTGATCAAGTTGTTACTCTTGATGCCATCACACTCTTGACTTTTACAAAGTTGATAATAGCAAGCATCCACTTAATCATATTAGCCTTACTGTTCTATTTTGAACCATCATCTTCAGTTCTAATCACATTGAGGTAGGATTCATAACCAAAGTGGTTAAGAATTGGATTGTTTAAATTTACAAACTTAAATCAGTTTTAAAGTGCATAGGACATTATTTCTTCCTTTTCCAACTATAGATTCTACATTTTAGGAAGATACTTGATCTATCTGAAGAAACACAGTGACTTATGGGAACAGAAAACATTCTTCTCATAAATGACCTATTTTTCAGCATGACAAACTTGTTTAATTGCTGCAAGTGTTGTTTCTGTCTCCTCTCCGCCTCAGTCTTGGAGATCAATTTCTCGGAGCTCACCCTGGAGGAGATCATCGGGGTGGGGGGCTTCGGAAAGGTCTACCGCGCGGTGTGGCGGGGCGCCGAGGTGGCCGTGAAGGCGGCCCGACGGGACCCCGACGAAGACGTGGAGCAGACTCTGGAGAGCGTGCGTCAGGAGGCCAAGCTTTTCGCCATGCTCAACCATCCCAACATCATGGCTCTTCTGGGGGTGTGCCTGCAGGAGCCCAACTTGTGCCTGATTATGGAGTACGCTCGCGGGGGGCCCCTGAACCGGGCCCTCGCCGGGAAACGCATCCCCCCATGCACGCTGGTGAACTGGGCTGTGCAGATTGCACGAGGCATGCACTACCTCCATGACCACGCCATTGTCCCCATCATACACAGAGACCTCAAGTCCAGTAACAGTAAGATTCCCTCACTTTGTTTTTATTATTGTCTCATTGAATAACTGCCAGAAAACTGTGAAATATACCACATTGCCCTTTGTGTTGCGCTACTAGGCTTGTATTTTTCATGGTTATAGAACGAGTGTGGAAATAAGCAGTTATGAAACTCCAGTCAAATATACACTAATCTGCACTTGTACGAACTTTCTCTCTGGTCTACCGGCCTTCTACCGGCCTTTTTACCCCAAGAAAAAAATCTCGTAATGCACCTTTACAGTGTAAAATAAATCTATTACTGTATTATATTTTTATTATCATTACGTGGTAAGAGTATATGCTTAAGAAGTCAAATCAGGAGGAAAAGGAGTTTGCATGTTTACTTGTGGAGTTGTTGTAATCTTGCATTTTGCCCAATTGGATCCTGTAAGTCCCAAGCCTATTACTGAGGATTTGCCAAGCGCTCTGCCCCGGCCTCCTCATTGGTGGCTCCGACAATGTGTGAAGTGAGGCCCCTGGCTGCCATTGGCTGATTCTGTGGCAATCATCTTGGGAGCTTCACTTTCAAAGTCACTCAGACTTGATGTCATGCTGGACTTCATGGGGAAAACCCAAACCTTCCTGAGCTTACGAAAGCAAGTGGCCAGAGGCTGACCTCTCTTTCCAAGGTTCTCTTTTGCTTCTGCCTTTGACGTTCGCCTCCAAATGCTTGCATTAGGGCAGTCTTAGCATATGAAATGTTAGTGTTTATTTCTTGGTATGTGTGTTTTACAGTCTTCCAATGGATTCCTTGTTTCCTCAAATGTATTTTGCCTGCGTTTAAACTGATTTTCAGTCCAACTCTTTCTTCACTTAGAGACAGTTGAAACTTTATATTTTCCTTCACTGTATAAGATACTGATATTGATTTTTCTGACTGTCAGTTATAGCAGGCCTATTTGCTAAATGCCAAACACACACAAGCAATGGACATTTCATAAGCTCCTGAAAATAGTTTGATGGAATTTGGTCTCATTCCTCCTGGCAGAACTGGTGTAATAGAGTCAGGCTGAATGTCTTGCTCACACACACCTGCTGCCCCATCCTCAGTTACATCAGATCTAAAACATGTGAAATCCAACATAATTACCACCAAAATGCCATGAGAGATTGTTGATCTTCCCACTCTCCCCCAAAAATGTTTCTAAACTGACATTTTATCTTGAAATTACCATTATTTCCCCAAAAAGGACTTCTAAAATCCTTTTTATAGTTTCAGGGTTCACTTTAGCCCCATATTGTGGGTAGAATCTCTGCAGACGCCATCTCCACGGCGTCACAGTGACATGATGGGTAGATGAAGAGGCGCTTCATGTGCACCGCAGCCCTTGGACACTCCCCCCGTGGGCTGGGCTGGTGCAGCCGCAGCAGATGGCCCGGGGTTTGTGGAGCTGAGAGGAGAGGCCTCTGTGCATGTGTTCAGGATTTTCCCGGGCAGGTCCGGACAGGGGGTTGTTTTTCATTCCCCATTAGAGCAAAATTGGTTTGTTGTAACAGGCTATTTCAGGAGTTAAACTGTATAATTAGTGCTTTGTATGAGACGTTGGGTTGTAAAAGCATGAGGGGAATACATTAGCATTGATCAAGGAGGAGTTGGTTTTCTCCTCTGGATTGCTTTTGTTGTCGTAGCTCATATTAGCTTGGTTTTTACTGTTCATTCTTTCTTCTTCTCTTCTCTGCCTTCATCTTTTGTATCTTGTCATCCTGGCCTTCCAACAACCACACCCTGTTTTGTTCACCCCCTCTTGTTTGTTTTTTTATTTGCTGTTGTGGTAAATCACGGGACTCATGCTACCGCTTCATCTCAAATTTCAATGGCGATCACCTGAAACCCTCCACCCTAACCTCCCACCAATCTGCACGCAACCCCTCCTGCTTCTTCCACTACCTCAAAACTCATTTCCATTCACCAACCCATATCCCCACTTCCACCATTGCCGCATCCAGTCCTGATTCTCGAAAGGGTGGAGATGGAGGACCTCAGCAACAAGACTCTGAAGATAACCGACTTTGGATTGGCCCGGGAGTGGCACCATACCACCAAGATGAGCGCCGCCGGTACATACGCCTGGATGGCTCCTGAGGTTATCCGCTCGTCCACGTTCTCCAAGGGTAGCGACGTGTGGAGGTGGGCGGAGGAAGGAGAGCCCCTGCAGAAAAAAAAACAAGCTGCACAGAGCTTTTAATGATGGATAGAAAACAAGTCCACGAAAGAAGAAAATCCATGAAAAATTTATTTTATATTCACATTTATGCAAAGGTGTGCTTAGGCAATTGTAGATTGAAAAAAGAAGAGGAAGAGTAAATTTCCACCCAAAAAACTTTTCTGGGAATAAAGCAAGAAAATTTCTAAGTTTGTATAGTCGAAGATTTTCTAGAAAAATTCTGAAATCTTTATATTAAAGTCAGAAATTTTCTAGGAAAAAAAATGGATATGGCTATGTTTGAAAAGTGGCAGATTTGCTAGAAATACTACATTTTCAAGAAAAACGTTTTGAAAATTGTCGACTTCTGATTGTCAAAACCTGTTGACATTTTCAACAAAAAAATTTCACCCCCTCTCAGCTCCTTCAGACTGGCCCGGAACAATTAGCAAACACCCGGTGGAACTGTACACTAGATACTAGTTCTACCTTTAAGAGCTAAAATATCAAGGTTTCTACAGTGTCAAAAGATTCTGGCGCATTCCTACACGACTCCTTGCTAACATGATTTGTTTGTAAGCTCTTTTATCTGTCAAAAGACACGCCGCTCTGCTTCACACACTCACTCTCTGATCTTGACCTTTTCCGTCTCCGCTTGGTATTTACACGAGTGGGGTGCAGAATGATCCTGTTTTGACATTTACCAAAGTAATGTGGCTTTCGTGACAGCCCAGTCTCTTTCAGCAAGCATGCTGTTCAACATTCATGTATTTCTACTCAATATGATCAAAATCCCACATATCCTGAGTGATCAAGTGCAATTTTCATGCCGTAATCACAAGTCTCTCTGCGTTTCTCTCCTCGGACGTTGGCAGTTACGGCGTGCTGCTGTGGGAGCTGCTGACCGGAGAAGTTCCCTTTCGAAGCATCGACGGTCTCGCCGTAGCCTACGGAGTGGCAATGAACAAACTGGCTTTGCCCATTCCCTCCACATGTCCCGAGCCTTTTGCACGTTTGATGGAGAGTAAGTAGAAAAAATAAATAAATACCATACCACTTTATCAACTGGTGCACTTTTAGCCCCAGACATATGCCATGAAATAACCAAACAGGGTATCTAAAATAATCTTTTTCTTATTTCTTACAGACTGCTGGAGCACGGATCCTCACTCTCGGCCGCTGTTCACAACTATCCTGGACCAGCTCACGGCCATTGAGGAATCAGGCTTTTTTGAAATGCCAGCAGAGTCCTTTCATTCCCTGCAGGACGACTGGAAACTGGAGATCCAGGAGATGTTTGATCAGCTTAGGACCAAGGAAAAGGTGATGAGAAGAGATAGAAAAAAAAAATTCAGAATGTCATTCTTTTATACTTGATTTCTGAAAAACTACAGTTGAGTGAACTTAATTTACATAGCACTTCTCATATGTCAGAAACTGGAAAAGGAAATCTAAAGATACAACTTTTGTTAAAACTTATCACCATGTTGTTATAGTACGTTAAAATATATTAAAAGATTGAGCTCCTCCACCTCTTCCCTGGGCTGCTGTTGCTATCTCAAGAAATGCACCGCTTCCATTCAAAACAACCAGTCAGAGTCAAGAGGAGGGTCTTAGCGCTTCCAATCAACCTTATGTTCACACCACTCAATGTGCTAATGACAGCGGAATAGCTTACTGATAGATGAAAACAGTTTACCCCCAGTCATTGGTGTCCATGCCTAGCCTTAGCATTCATGACAGGCTATGCAGATAGGTAGCAGTAGAACAGTAGAGTAGTATATCATCAGCATAGAAACAATAAGACGTAAAGAAAAACTGACATTTTATTTGACCCAACAAAAAAAATAGGTCCCAAAGATTGAGCCTTGTGAAGCTCCATGTTCTGCACATGGTGCACAAAAACGCTGAAGATGTGATTACACGTCACTCATAGTTCATTTCTCCTCCCTTTCTCCATTAGGAGCTGCGATCGTGGGAGGAGGAGTTGACCCAAGCTGCGCTGCAGCAGAAGTGCCAAGAGGAGGCGCTGAGGAAGCGCGAGCAGGAGCTGGCAGAAAGGGAGATCCACATCGTGGAGCGGGAGCTCAACATCATCATCCACCAGCTCTACCAGGAGAAGCCGCGTGTGGAGAGCAGGCAGGGCAAGTTCCGCCGCAACCGCCTTAAACTCAAAGATGGAAACAGGATCAGCCTGCCCTCAGGTACAAACATCTGGCAAGCATCAACTTACAAAAGGATATGCTTGTGAGGTGCCAAAATCTTACAAATTGGACATTAGCATAGATTTGACTTAATGCTACCTACTGCAGCTACAATGAAATATTTCCTTGAGAAATATTTCACGTATTAGAAATTGTTTAACTTAACAGAGAGATATGTTCAGTGCTTTGCAAAGATATTGAGAAGCATGAAAGAACATGTTTTTTCATGTTCCAGCCATTAACTTTAGTGTCTTAAGGGTGCATTCATGTTATAAGAAGCATTGTTTGTCCAAGTTATCTTTGAGAAATAAAGAAGTTGTGATTCTTTTTTTTTGCTAAAATAACTTTTGGCAAAAAATGACTTTAGCCATTAATTTAGGAAGGTGACAGTATGTGATTGTATATTTACGGCAACCTTGCGAAAGTATTCGTACTGCTGGAGCTTTTCACTTTTTGTCAAAAGACAGACACAAATTCCTGATTCCTTTTTATAAAAGCCATTCACACAGCATGATACTGATAAACAGGATGATGTGAGTTGTTGGATTTTTTTGGTGTGCAATTATAAAAGTGAAAGTAACTTTTTTTTTTTTTTATTTGTACATATAAAAATATTAAAAGTGAGTTCAGCATCCCTGCAGTGTGATGCTGCCACAAACCTGCATCCCCATGGAGGATGTTCCATGTATGTTCATGTATTTTAAATTGCCTTTACGGTTGCAAAAGTTACATTTTTTTTTGTCTTCGAAGGATCACGTTTTTCTTATTTGGCTGTTTTTATTCTGTTGACTTCGGCACTGTCGTAGAAGCTAAGGGGTTTCCGTTGATGTCCTTTAGATTTTCAGCACAAAATCACGGTGCAGGCGTCTCCGTCCCACGATCATCGGAGGAGTCTGCTCAGCAGCGGCTCCAGCCCTCCAGCCAGTCCGCTCATGCTGCCGCGCCTTCGAGCCATCCAGCGTAAGGACAAGGCTTCTGTTTTTGAAAGCAAGGAAACTGGAATTGATAGCATGTAGGACATAAATAAATACCATCCCACATCAGATCACTCTGAGGGAAAAAGTCAGAATTTCTAGAAAATTCTGAGATTAAAGTTAGAATTTTGAGAAATTTTAAAAAATTTTGAGATTCAGGTTCAAATTCTGAAAACAAAGTCACAATTTTGAGAAAAATTCTGAGACTCAAGTTGGAATTCTGATAAGAAAGTCAGAATTCTGTGGGGAAAACAAAGTCAGAATTTATACAATATTGTGCAAAATTATACAAGCTTGTCTTGACACAAACTTTTGAGTTTAACTTTTAATAATATGTGAATCAAATTTTTAATATTTTATCAGTTACCCCGGGGGAGGGCTGCACAGAGCTGGAGAGAAAGGGCTCGAGGAAAAAAGGCCGCTCCCGCGGTTGTGGCATTTATCGGGAGCACAGCGCAGACGCGAGGTGAGAGAACCTAAAATCATTTAACTATTCATTTTGAATTAGTGTTTGGTGATTCATTTTTTAAAATTTTAATCAGACAACTTTTGGTTTTCTCGTCCGTCACAGTGTGAAGCCTCCCCACGAGGGCAGCAGGCAGCGGTCCTGCAGCGCCCCAAACCTCCGCAGATCTCCCAGACACAGTCCGGCCGTTCCCGGGGTGCCCAGCCTCCTGGAGACAGGTCAGTAGGAACGTCTCAGCTGGTTTGAGTTTGCCTGAGAAATGAAGCTGTTGACGTAACAGAGACACATCAACCCCACACTGCCGTGGTTGGTGACCCACAAGTGTGTCTGCAGCTGCTTGACCACGAACAAGCGCTTGTGGAGAAAGCAAAAATCTATGAGGGGCCATTTAGGACAAAAACTATAATGTAAAAAAAAAGGGGGGGGGTAACATAATCTATGCATATCAATGGTTTTGCTTTTAGCTTTTGATGACTTTTGATTGGGGTTTTTGTTTTTTTTTAGAAAATGAAGATTGCTGCTTCACCACAGAGCCAGGCGCAACTCCTGGCCAGTCCTACCTCTGCATTCCCTTCCAAAAAGACGCCCACGCATCTTCCTCCATCGAACAAGACGGAGATGAGTACTGCCTGGGCGGCCAGGTTCCCGAAACCCCGCCATGCAGGAAGAGCCCCGGGGCGGGCCGGCGGTCTGAGCTGGTCCTGCTGGGCTGCGGGGCTCTGTTGGCGGCCGTCGGACTGGGCTGCAACCTGCTCACGCTGGCCCAGCCCGAGGAGGGCATCAAATCCAGATGGGACGCTTTCTTCCACAGAACCGCCGGGCAAAGGCGGAGCACGAGCTCCCCGACCCGCAGGCTGTTCCACAGGGAAAGCCCGCTCAAGACTTCGGCCCTCTCCCTGCCCGAGCGAGGTTTGCCCTCTTCATACACTCTCCTGTCCTTGTCGTCGGTGTCCGACTCCAACTCCACCCACTCACTGCTGCGTTCCGACAGCGACGAGCTGCTGATCTGCAGGCCCGCCTCGGCGGCGTCCCGGGCGCCCGCGCCGCCTCCGCTCTCGCAGCGCAGGACGCCGGTCAACTCACTGGTCAACGTTCACGTGGAGAGCTTCAAGCGGAACCCGCGGCAGTCTCTGACGCCCACACACGTCCCCTGCGTCCCGCCCTCCGCACGGAGCCTCCGCAGGACCCCATCGGACGGAGCCATAAAGAAGAACGGCCCTTCCAGTTCACTGGAGCCGCTGCCGGAGAAGAAAACTTTGGACAGTGCGGGTAAAGGCGTGACATCCCGTTTTATGTTGTAGAACTCTAAATTTGATCATTTCATGTCCTATTAGACTAACTTTAAATAGATATGCCTCGCCTAGGAAATAAAAATACAGCATTCCCACATATTTGTAAAGAGGCAATATTATGTCAAGCTATTTTTTTTAGCTTTACCTCGTATTATGAAGTTATTTCCTCATAAAATAAGATGGTGTTACTTTGATTCTTTGATGCATGTTTGAGAAATCCTTTTATCTTTATGGCAACCAATCAGGTGCAAACACCTGGGAGGACCTAGCAGTGCTTTCGAGGCGCATTTCCTCCTTGAGCTAAAGCTTCTGAGCTTCCACCTCACAGAGCAGCCCACCATAACTCGGCTCCTTCAGACTAGCCAGCAGCAATTAGCAAAACCTGGTGGAAATGCTGAGTTCATTAGACGAGCCGCTTCTCAGCGTAACACTGGTGAAAAAAAGAAAATTAATTAAAGGGCTAACGTTGAGGAGGAGATTTTTAAAGAAACAGAGACCTATTTTCAAGACTTTAAATTACAAAGTCAAATTTCTTTGAAGTCATATTTGATATATACAATGTTTTAATAACTGAAGGGAACTTCACTATGCTATAGAATGGTACTATTTGCCTGGAAAATACATAACGCTGCTCCTTTAAAATTGAATACTTTCCCACAGAGACGGACAGGCTAATCTCCAGTCTGGCAGCGTGTTAATAATAATCTGTTTTTTCTGGTTTAACAGCAGCAGGTGGCTTCAGGGGTTTAAAAGAAGACTCTCTTGAGGTTCCCCGGCTCCCCGACCCCAACGTGGTTTTTCCCCCGACGCCCCGCCGTCGCTGCGCCCCAGAGCGCCCCAAAACCCTGGACTTCGGGGCTCGGCCTCGCCCCTCGCCGCGGCCACGGTGCGACATGTTCTGGGGGGACTCGCGCGTCAAGGCCAACGGACAAACGCTGGGCAGCGGCGAGTCGCCAGCCTACACCTCCAGCACAGAAACTCCGCCCACCGTGGAGTTCGGCAGGGACTCCGCGGTGCTGCCCACCCCCATGGAGGCCCCGTCTCCCTTCTCACCCCGCAGGAATGCCAACCTGTTGGATGAGTCGGACGAGGGACAGTTCCGGGACGGGACGGTCCCTCTGTGCAAGCCGAAGTTCAGCCTTCCCAAAGACTCTCCTTATCATCCAGGATTCTGGTCCTGACTCATGGACTCATGTTGCTCCTCCGCTAGCTGGAGGACTGTCACCACTCTAGGAGTTTGAGTTAAGCTTTCCCCCATTCTACACCATTCAATCAAACTTGCAATAAAGTTTTGCTCTTGCTTTAGTTAAACTGTATTTTGGTAAATATTTATCAAAATTGTCATCTAAAATTTGTGAAATGTCTGGCTAAAGAGACAGCCAGAAGCCCATTTGTGTCACGTTCATTAGGTTCTCGTTTCACAAAGCTTTACTCTCCTGTTTCAAGCTTTGGTTTCGATTGTGCATTTACTGAAGTGCACTTTTGAAAATCATCATGAATGTAAGAGCTTTTTATTAGTATTATTAGTATTATTATTCCCAGGAAGCAATTTCTTAAACCACTTGAGCTCCTCTCCTCCATCTGTTTCCCGCTCGGGTACTGCAGGCAGATGGTTTCCCCTTTTTTTTTTTTTTTTTGCGCCGAGTTCACCTTCCTCACCAGTCGCTTCATGTCCCACAGATAGGGGGCGCTGTTTGATATGAGCACTCTTGTGTCTGCTTTAGAGCCACACTGTTGCGACTGTAAAAAGCAGAGGAAATAAGTTCATTGATTGTCTTTGTTTTTTGTTTTTGTTTTTTTGTTTTTTGTCCTTTTTTTTTCATGGTCCCGTTAAAGACATTGAGAAACAAAACTTTAAAGCTGAAAGTAGAACTATGTGCTTTTATGCTGCTGTTCAACTGTTAGGATCAGAAATGCATAGTTTGTTTCGCCCTCATAGGAAGCAGGCCTAAGGATATGTGGAAGTTTGTTTCTTATTTGTATATTTTTAATGAACTACTTCATTTATTGATTTGTTTGGTGTCTTATTTTATTTTATTTTAATCCTGTATGCCTTGATTTTTGACACTTCTTAATGCTTTATCTGAATGTTACTGGGTCTTTTGGCCTTTGCACAAAGCATCAAGTCATTTGTTTGAAAGCTGCACTTTCTTCATCACTCATTTAGAAATGACATTTTTTAATATATTTACATTGACTTTTTAATTTTTTTTACAGTGTCTTTGCCAAGAAATGTAGCTGCCCCAATGAGCACTTATCATCACAAATCAGTGTTTCTTGTTTTTTTGTTGTTGTTTCTTATAGTGTTTACCTTAGAAGAATTTTAGTTTAATGGGAAGAAATCATCGGCTTTCTTCAAAAAGGGATTTTAAAAATGTTATAATTTTGGGGAAGGGTGTAGATAAATTAACCATTTTACAAATCTTAAATAAATATGGGATTTTAAAAAAACAGAAGCATGGGATAATGCCAATTATTATTTATTTAATTTATTTAATACCTACACCATTACTGTTATGAATAATTGAGAAAAAGAGCTGAAACGTGTCCCAACACCCTGCAGCGTCAAGTTACTGATTTATTTTCTCCAATTTAAGTGACCTAAATTCCACATGAGCTCCTTTTGGTCTTGATACATGTGTAAAAATGAATGCCTCCTCCTCGAACCCCCAAATCCCCCTCAGAACTGTGAAGAACATGATCATGTTCGATGTGTACCATAACCATCTGTTTGAACTGCAGGTGACGCGGCGCTGAGCTCTCGGATGAAATGTGAGCACAAATAAGCTGAAAACACCGTTTACTGATATTGTGTGTTGGAAGGGGGCGATTCTGCTACTGAGTGTCTTGTATTTGCACTGGAACACACTTACTCAAGTAAAATCAGAAGAAAAAACATAAAACTGTTTGTTTACTTTCTTGTTGCGCTTTAGATGGTGTAAGGACATGCCACGGCTATCGTCAGTGGCTCTCTGCCCAGAGCAGAATAGTTGAGGGGGCAGTATGAGTGCACCATGAGTACATGGAGGAAGAAAAGCATGAAAAGTTATCAATCGGTGTACAGAAACCCAGCCTGGTATTCAAACCTAGGACCTTCTTTCTGTAAGATAACAGTGCAGACCAGGTGCGATTAGTTTATGTGGATTTTGAAACGAGAAGCTTTGATAAAACGGTCAAACAGCCCTTTAGCTGCTGTTGCACAAATCTTTCAAATCATATGCTGAACTTTAGTGTCTTTAGCTGCTCGCTTGTTATGGTATTCATATTCTCAAAGTGCTTAAAAGCTGTGTTTACTTTGTGTCACTCTTTGAACTACAAAAAAATGTTGCTACGCAAATGATTAGCAACTGATTGGAGCGTCCCGTCGGGTTTTTGAGTTAAAAAATGTTTAAAATTGACAGGAAATTTTAAATGATGACTTAATAATTATGTGCTATTGGAAGATTAATATCTGAACACTGACTATAAAGTCTTTCAAAACATACTTATGTAAGCAATGGTAAGCCTGGTGGTGTTAGAAGTAAAGCCTGGTAGCCCACCAGGCTTATACTACACTGGGGGAACAACTACTTCCTTTCTTACTTCAAAATAAGAGTCTTAAACATATAAGGTGTACGGGACAGTGTCAAGTTTACAGCATTCCCCAACTTTTCTGCGGTTTACGTCTCACTTAATTTCATTATACCAAAATAAATCCCTAAAATCTGTTTACGTTTGTCTATGTGTAACTTGATACACATTTAGGAGTGAGCTGCCTCATAGAAGCATGTTTCGATGTTCAAAGTCATTACCCAGATTATTATATTGATGTAAATGTGTAAAAAAAGAAGACAATACTTTTTGTAATTATTAAACAAGTTTATTACACATACACTATTACCATACACATAAGGAATTTTAAGATACAATAAATGTTGAGTGATGTGCTTCATTCTGGCATTAATAAAGACATACAGTTTTCTTTTCACTTAGATTTCTACGGGATTTTACATAACAGCCTATTTACATATATGTGTCATATGCGTCTGGTGTCGTACCACAACCGTGTGCTTTGTGAATTACATTTTTTTTAAGGTAAGCAAATAACAGTAAGGTGTGAGGGTGGTCGTCGCTCACTTTTAGGAAGGCAGGTTGGTTTAGAAGCCCGTCTCGAGTGTGCGAGTGTGCGCGCGCGCCGACTTACAGCGGAACTTGTCGCTCCGGTTTCCGGCCCGGAAAGTGCAACGTTTTGGACTGGCAGTGCGTCGCTTCAGAGGAGCCGGAGCGCAACATGTAGAGATTCTTGTCAAACACATTTGGTGTCGTTTCTTTTTCTGAAGAACAAAACTAAAAATAAATAAAATATATATATATAAATAAACGAAATTCCGAACCTCCGTCACGACAAACACAACCCACACTACAAAGTTGAACAAGTGGCAAACCGTAGGCTGCGCAAAGCAAAGAAACCGCTAAACAGATCTGATTTCACACCATAAGACTTCCGGCGGGCTTTGAGGTCCGCGTGGCGCGCAGTGGGAATGCAGCTGATGACGGGCGACGCGCCGGCTTACGACGCGTCTTTCTTTTCTTTCTGGGCGTTCCGCCGAATCTTCATCTCTGTTAGCTGGATGTAGCGGATGGCGTTTGTGTCTGTGGAGAAAGCGGGAGGAGATGGTTGGTGTATAAACCTACATGCATCCTCCACTGACTGAACATGCAAATAAACAACAGAAATTTTGACATGTTCCTTTTTGTTTTTGTTTTTCAAGCAGAGGGCCCCCTGAGCTTTGCCGCCCAGGGCGGTGTGCCATCCCCCCCGTTTCAAAAACAGTGCTGTGACTGCTGACCTGATGGCTCCTGTTTGTGCGACTCCTTCAGGTAGTACAGGGCCTTCTGGTAGTCTCCCAGGTGGTAGTAGGCCACTCCAGAGCGGTAAAGGGCTTTGAAGTTCTTCCCTTCCTTGAGAAGCACTTTCAGGCAGTACTCCTTCACCCGCTCGTAGTTCACCAGCTCCATTTGCAAGAGGCACGCTGGAACGGAAAAACGGACATTAAGAGATCGCATTTTTACATACATCATTACACGTTTTTATGCGCGTAATGATGCGTCCCCTCAAAAGAGCAAATTATGATTGGTTATTTTTGTTAACCCGACTCACTGGGCATGTTAAGAAAAAGGGTTGTGCATTGTGAGCAGGGCTGGATTTACAAGGATTTACAAGGAGTTTGGTGTTTATTTATTGTTATTGTCTTCAAATTTCCTGTCAGCTTTAAACATTTTTTTATTTTAAAACACAATGGCGGCTGGATGACTGCGCTGGCGCCCCCTACCGGACTTACCAAGATTTCAAGGGGAAACTCTGCTTTGATATGGGCTTGATAATGTCCCCTTTTATGCCCTTCATAAAATAGGACAATGTTTGCAAAACATGGATTCATGAATAAATAAAATAAGTAAATACGCCCCCAAGTATTGGTGCCCTGGGCTACTGCCCCTGTCGCTTATTCTGGAGACTGGCTCGGGTTGTGAGTCATTGCTAGATTTTTTTTTTTTTTTTTTTGCTTTTTTTTTTTTGTGGCAAATCAACAGTGAGTGAGCATCGCTGTGACAGGGAAAACGTCTCCTACCGGCCAGGCTGTTGTAACACTCCAGCTCCGCGTTCTCCATCGCCCCCTTCTGCTCGTCCGTCAGCGTGCTGGACTTGCTGATGGTCGGCAGCAGGGTGGTCGTGGACCTGGGGCCGGGGTCCGGGTCCCCCAGCACCCGGCACAGCCCCTTGATCTCCAGCAGAGCGCGGTGGTACTTGCCGATGGCCTCTCTGTATTTCTTATCCTTGTAGCACTGAGTGCCTTGGCTCTTAAAGTCCAGCGCCCGCCTCACGACGTCAGCTGGCTCATTGTGGGATGGCTGCTTCAGCATCGACCCACCATGATGCCTCTGCTGCTGCTGTTGATTCCTGCTCTCTTTCGTCCGGCTGCCGCTGTTGGGGGGCTGAACGCGCTGATGGAGCCTCGGGGAGCCGCTGACGCCGCCGCTATTGGCGGCGAGGCTCCCTCTGCCGCCGTCCACCCTCTCTCCGCCTCCAGCCTGGACCGCACTCATCTTGGACCCGTCTCCTTTCTAATTTCCGTCTACCCTGCCACTCTGTGGTATTTAAAAAATAAATAAAATGAAATGAAATAAAATAAAAAAGCCTTGGGAGGTGTGTGAGGGTGGGGAGGGGGAGTGGAGCTTTTCACCGCATCTTGTCGGCTGTAGTCGCGCCTTTCGCCTCGCCAGTGTCGCAGCTCCGTCCTCTCCGTGCGCAAAAAAAAAAAAAAAAAAAAAAAAACCTGCGCTGCGCGTCGCGCGCTCCTCCGTCGTAACCAGCTCTGCGCTCCGCGTGTTTTTCTGTTCAAACGAACCGATTGGTCGAATATGGAAAACAAAAAAAGTAGAAATAGTTGCTTCCATTATAATGAACGGTTTGATTTCATTGTGAGCCTGAAAGAGACAGTCCTGGCAGAAGACAGCTTTATTCTCATTTTGGGCGTCTCTTATTGGTTGGCTGCAATTACAGATCACAATGCTTTTATTGAGAAACCGCTGTCATTCACCTCATTTCCTATTTTAGCGACCAGATGTGTGGAGCTAAAATAGGTCCACTTAGAGTAATATGACCTACTGACTTCATTAGGTCAGTTCTGGACCTAATGAAATCCCATACTTTTACCCCCCCCCCCCCCCCCCTCTCTTCCCATCCTTCAAATATATATATATATTTTCCCCACCAAACTGGATGTGTGTTATTTTGCACATTTCATGACTCTTCTAACCTTATTCATCTCATGTTGTGCATATTAAACTAAATGTCAAAAGTCTAGAAGCTTTTGTTAGAAAAAAGTCGTATGAAGAAAAAGTTGCAGTTATGACGTTGCTTACTTTATTAAACTATTGTTGAATAGAAAAATCCACGGCTGCAGTTGTCTGTTAATTGGAGAAAATATGAACCTGTAATGTCTGACTGGAGGTATTCTAGTATTCTAGGTATTCTTCTATAGTGCGTATTTTGCATATTTCACATATTGCTAGTGAATATTGTTACTTTGTAAATATAAAAACACATATTTTTGGATGACTTAAACATATATTATCACCACAACAAAATTAAATAAACATCCACTTATGTACAAAGATGGGCTTGTTTTCATTTTGAGTTTCAAATATTTTCAAAGAACTGAAATAACCACAGATCAATAATGAAATAATTAGTTTCGCAGTGTTCTGATGTATTTGGCTTTGTTCAAGGTATGTGCCCCAAAAATATCTCAAATGTTTTATTTACCAAATCAAATTTTCACCTATCATTTCTTTTTCTTTTCTTTTTTTTTCTTTTTGTTTGTGCACAAATTAGGGAAAAAAATATACTGAAGAGCTATTTCTGAACAAACACAGCAAAATACAGAGGAGCATTAACTGCTAATACACATGGATTCAACTATGGTGACATAGGAATCAGTGAGAAGGGGTGACAAATCAGCTCCTTGAGTAAGCGCCCTATTTCACAGTGGAATATTTGAATCACGACCCAAATTCAGTGCGAGAAGGGGAGGGTGATGGACAGGGGGTGGCATATGAAATTATATTCTGCCTAAATCTTTAAGAACTGCTTGCGTTGACTGGACCAGTTGTCTTTTTGGCTCGTCTTGTTCCTAATTGAGCAAAAGATCTTCTTTGAAACTTTAAGTGTTTTTTTTTTTTTTTGACTAAAATCTGTAGAAGCTAAATCCATCTCGATTCCTGCCAGGTTGATCTAAGACTTCGAAACATAAATTCCTTTATCTTTTAACTGCATTAAATCTTTCCTTCGCAACTTAAGATTAATGTTTTTCTAAATAGAAAATTCATGTTACCTGTCAGTATTTTTAACTGTTTTTTTTTTATGGTTAAGCGTAACAGATGTGACCAATGCATAACCATTGCTCCTGCTCTTAAAGTGTTGTGTGATAAAAAAGGAAATGTGAAATGGGAGGGGGAAAGAATTATCAGGAAAAAAAACATAACTTGAAAAAGCTTATTGTACCTTGATGGTACTAAAATATACAAATGTGAAACATAAACAGAAGTTTTCTGCAAAAGCTTGCTGCTGAAAAATACAACAAAGTATTTCGTAAAAGCTTTGACTGAAGTGATATTGAAGAATAACGGATACTTTAAACGGGTATTTTGTTTTTTACTTTATATATTCCAATGAACAACAATACAATTGTATTGTGAACATAACACAATACAATAAATTTTAAATGGGTATTGAGCGGTAACGAGTTCCAATGGCTTGCGTCATCAGGCTGCGACACGACGTACAGCAAAGACGCATTTTTTAAGAGACTATTTGTTTACTGTCATGGCGTCGGTTGATTTTAGAGGTAGGCTAATTGTTGTGTTGCTAATGTGGAATGCGTTGTCTGGTTTATTTAAGATTTAATCGTTTTAATTAATCGAGTCTAATGTGAAACGAATGGAAAACAGCTTGAATTTGAAATTGGCGTGTTTTAAAGGCATTTAGTGACGCTGTAAGGTAACGTTAGCATGCCGGCTAGCTTTCATAGCTTCTTGTATTATTTGGTTTCAGGCTTCATTTCTTTTACAGTGTGTCGCTTTTTGCTCTTAATGATTCAGCTTCTTTAACTTATTATGTCTGGTATATTTGTGTGTCAAATGGCGGGAAATTGATATGAGGTACTTGTTGCCACTCGTATCTATAAACAAATCCCAGGTTTTTAGATGGTGTTTGGATTGTAGATTAATAGAACATTTATATTAAAGATATTAAATATCTCAATGTGTGTTTTAGAGCTTCTATCCTGATTGAAAGCGGTAAAATAGTACCAGTGCGAAAAAGAAAAAGAAGTGAAATAGTTTTCTACCACCAATTAGAAGCCAGTTTCAGGATTGTGTTGGAGTACAATTTACGGAACATGACCATAACAAAACTGTCTGTTCCAACACGTTCAGGATTTTAAAAACAGGAGAAGTGCGAAATCTAACATTACTGCCCATCGATTTCTTGCCAATGAAGCCTGTTTCCATGGTAACTTTGCAGACAACCTCCTGGGCATATCGTGGGTGGACAGCGGCTGGGTGCCGATCCTCAATCCCGGGAATGTTCTGGACTACTTCTCCGAGAGGAGCAACCCGTTCTATGACCGAACCTGCAACAACGAGATCGTGAAGATGCAGCGGCTCACTCTGGAGCACCTCAAGTAAGTTTGTGATATTTAATGGCTGCGCTTATTTTTCTGTTGTTTTTCTTCTTCTTAGATGTGCCAAAAGCATAACTGTAAACTGAAACCAATGCACAGAACTGGATGTAATACAGAAACTCCAAATCCTGCTTATTAACTCAAAGTGTCTAGCTTCCTCCCATATTAACTCTGCTACTTCCTTAATACTTATTTTTTATTTTTTTTACTTTTTAAGTTTTACATTATGAAGGAAAATGTTTAACAGTTTTAAAACTGTAACCTCCACAGCCTTGGTAGTTGTAACTCGCTGCATGCCTAATCACCGTGCAGCTTATCAATCATCTGATTTTATTTCTGAATACCGGCCATAGCCATATGTGAAAGAAAAATCCCAAAGCAAAACACGAGGTTTGTCCTCAAAGTGAGGATGATGCTGAAAGCTGTTTTCCCTCCATGTTGTTTTTATTTCCAGTCAGATGGTGGGAGTGGAGTACATTCTTCTTCACGCTCAGGAACCAATTCTCTACATCATCCGTAAGCAGCAGCGGCAGTCTCCAACACAAGGTGAGCGGAGCAACACGTCACACCGCTGCTGCGTTGTAGCCAGTGCACGAACTTTATATTTAAAACATTGGTGATAAGCTTTTTCCATTTTTCTACATGTAAAAATCTCCGTCTAACATTTTTTAGTGATTCCTTTGGCTGACTATTACATCATAGCGGGAGTGGTGTATCAGGCTCCAGACCTGGGGACGGTTATCAGCTCCAGAGTGGTACGTCTGGTTAATTATAGCTGCTGTTAGTCTTTTGGTGTGTTAAGATGCTGGATGTTTTTTTTGTGTTTAAGCTTTTGTCATCTTTGCATTTATTCTGTGCCGGTTTAGCTTTCTGCAGTCCATGGAATCCAGTCGGCTTTCGACGAGGCCATGTCGTACTGCCGCTATCACCCCTCCAAAGGATACTGGTGGCACTTTAAGGATCAGGAGGAGAGAGGTTGGATGTTTTTTTTTTTTAACTTAATGTATGTTCCCAACCTGTGATTGGTTGATAATTACTGAAACACACAGCGCCTTTGTGAAAGTATTCATAGCGCTAGAAATAAACCAATCCAAGATTAATATCTGTAGTGGTTCCAATATTGGAGGAAAAAAACCCCCACTAAAGATCAGGTATGGATGACAATGTATCCAATCTGTAAGGCCAGATTTATTCAGTCTAAGACAGCATAAATTCAGAAAATTTGAATGGGTATGAATACTTTTTGCAAAGCCCTGGATGTGTCAGAACTATTCAACCATGGAAATCCAAAATCATTTCCCACATTACTTTCTAGTTTTGCCGTCTTTCTCAAAGGTTTTATAACTAACTTTGTCGCTTGCTACAGAGAAAACGAAGCCTAAATCCAAGAAGAAAGAGGAGCCTAGTTCTCTGTTTCAGAGGCATCGCGTTGACACACTACTGCTGGACCTCAGATCAAAGTTTCCACCAACCTTTTACCAGGTACATCCAGTATGTCTACATGATTATTCATACTAGAGTTTTTATTGAAACCAAACATCTCGTAAATAATTGCCAACGTGTTTTCTGTCTCTGATTTCAGCCTAAGCCTGGCGACAAACCAATTCCAGGTATCATATTATATCGACATCAAACTTTGAATCTGAAAATGTGCATGTTTAGATAAATTCTTCATGTTAATCCCAATTAATCAACCACAACCTACGTTTCAGTTGAGGTGAAGAAGGAGCCTGAGCCTCCCACAGAAGCTGTGAAACAAGAGGAGCGGGAGCCGGCCACCAAGTCGTCAGCGCCGGCTCCGCCGAGCAAACCTCCGCCTGAGAAGAGGGCGAGGCTGCAGTGAAGGGAAAATGGAGCAACATCGTATTCCACTTCCTTAGCTGAGAGAACAGCTGCCCACTGGGAGTCGTTATGCTTTGCCCCCTCCAAAAAATGAAACCTTGTCTACTTCTCTGCTTTATTTTTTTTTAACTGAACTGAGTCAAAAGGACGTCCACCTCTTTTTGTAGACTTGGAGAAGGTGCTTGGAGCTAAATGCGTTTCAGGGCAGCTGGAC